GATGAAATAAGGTGGAATTCATTCCATCGGATTTCATTCATTTAATTTTACATCATTCAAATAATTTTTTTTTCTTTTCAATCAATTCAAATATAATCTTAAATGTACTTTCGAATTCGAGTTTAAAGCGTTAAATAATATATATATTGATTGCCTGTTGTTGCACAGTCCAAGTTGGTCTTATAAGCTTAATTGATAATTTTTCGAGTCCACCTCATTAAAAAAAAATGGGTGCATCTTTTCATTTTCTTGAATATTTGCTTTTAAGGTTTCTATTATTATTATTATAGTATTTTGATTTTAGTTACTAATAAAGTTTCAGTGAAGAGTTTTGATTAGCAAGTTCATCCAAGCACTCAAGTTGATACCATTTATGGAAAATTTTAGAGATGTTAAGAGGGAGGGGATTTTATTAGTGTCCTTTTTAAGCTCATCTTTTTTAGCATTGATAACTTGTTCGAGATCAAGTGGAAATAATTTATACATTCAGAGATCAACATATCATTTGAAAATCAACATCCTAACGTGAGTGTTGTAGTATATGTACGCTTGTTTTTGCAATGTTCTGCAAAAACTACACTGAGAAAGCACAAATTGGCTGAAATTTTTGTCAACGAAAAATAAGATGAATTTGATAAACAAAGAGCTACCTCTGCTTTTAGTGGAAAACACTGCAATAGCTTCCTGTAGGTTTTAAAAAACAAAAATTTATAGGGAGAAAAGTTCCAACTTACCACCTTTTAATGTGAAACCTGAATTACTCCACTTGCAAAATATATAATTTAAGTTATAAAAAAGCAGTTTGGCATAATTAAATAATACGACTAAAAATATTTTTTATAAAAATATATGCATATATAAATGAAAACAATTTAATTAAAAAAAAAAACTAAAAGTGAAATTTGTTAACCAAACTAACGAGAAAGTTATTTTTATAAAAATTAGTTTAGCATACAATGCACATGTATTTTATTTTATAATAAATATACATATAGTTTAATAATTAAATAATAAATTTTATACTTTTAGAAATAATTATATATGTAATAAAATTATTTTTATTTAATTTTATAATTATGAATAGTATATATCAAAATAGTAAAAATTTAATCAAATTTAAAAATATAATTTATTTTAAAATAATATTTTTATCTTATAATGTAAAAAGATTAAATTAAACCTAAATAATTAATATACTAATAATCATAAATTTAAGATATGAGACTCTTAAAAGTAAATTCTAAACTTAAAAAAAATTGAAAAATTAAGATAATTTTTATAAATATGAAAATAAGTATTCAAGAAACATATAAAATTTATATGAGATAATAAGGAAAATTTAATTAAAAATTTTAATTTCTGAAATTTAGAATAATATTAATAAAGATGTGAGAAAAAATTATTAAAAAAATATAATTTACGCATTATTTTTAGTTAATTTAAATTTTAAAATATATATGTGATAAATTATGAAAAAAAAGTTTCCATTAATGTTTTATTTTCCAAATATATATATATATATATATATATAATTCAAATTAATAAAAAAATAATATTTTTATTAAACATTTCATATTTTTTATATTTTTATCCTAATTATTTATAATAATAATAATTAATTATTATTTTTATTTTATTTTCACATAAGTAAACTTTTTTATTAATACTTTAAAAGCTTGTCTAAGAAGGAAAAAAGAGGAGAAGATAAAATTTATATTTTAAATAAATATATTTAAATTAATATTTGTTTAAAATAAAAATATAAAATAATATATTAACATAAAATTTAAGGTATTAATTATACATTTATTATTATAAAAAATTGTATAATTATTTTAATTAAAATTAAAATCACATTCTCTCTTCTCTTTCTCTTTAAAATTTCTTCCAAAAAATACTCTATAAAGTCACGGTATTAACTTCTGATAATATCTTATCAAGTTTTTGGGTTTCTAATCACCGATTACCCTGACCCACTTGCCTTTTTCTTTTTTCTAATGGCTCATCAACATGCTATTGGAAAGAAATCACCAAAATGGTTGATAACACAATCCAATTAATTTTTTTTAAAATAAGTTACAATCAGGATCATGATAAAGCATACTTTAAAAAACAATTTCAGCAAAAAAGAAAATGAAGACTACAAATTAACACCCTCAATACATGTAAAATAACGTATAAATTTGAATATGTACGATTTAAACTCTAAATTATATGTTATTTTTAAAAAAATTATGAATTAAATCTCACATGATTTGAAGTTTAAAATACTAATTTGTAACTTTATATGAATAACTTTAAAAAATAATTAATAGAATTATTACTGAAAACCCTAAGAATTAAAATGCACACTTTTTAGTTCAAAACTAAATCACAAAAGACCTAAACCTCAAATTATCAATTTATATATATTTTTCTAAAAGAATACTAGTATTTTTCTTGAAATACTAACAAATTTTCAGCAAATACATTCCCAATATTTTAAAAAAATACCATTTATTTTGCAAATATACAAATTAGGGGAAGATCAAAGTAATGTTTAAATAAATAAATGTTAAATTTAAAAAAACTACAAAAATGTGAATATAATTTGAATATTAATTATATACAATTAATAAAAAATATATACATAGTTTTTTTTATCACCTTTGAAATGAATATTTCATGTTAAAAAAGTTTATGATGGATCTTTAAACTCTTGTAACGAAAAAAAGTTTAAGTGTTTACTTTTGTAGTAAATCATTTTTATTAACAAATTTATATCACGTTCATTCACTGCATGTATAAGTTGGGGGAAAATACATTTTTCTTTAAAAATAAAAAAATATTTTTATTATTTTTAATATTCACTTTGAAGCAGATAAAAATTACTGAAAATGTAAATATACATTAGCTTGTAACTTAATCAACAAACACATTCAATAAAAAATACTAATAAATGAGATTAATTATCAAAATATCAAATAAAATATTTGTAAATAAATAATAATAATAATAATAATAATTATAAATTATTTTTCTCGATGCACGTGTAGTCAAACCTATTTTTTTTTCTTATAATGTAATATTTATAAACAAATTAATTTAAACGACATATGGATAATTTTATTTCATACTTTATTTGACATTTTTACACTTCTAGATTATATGTTATGTATAATTACTTAAACACACACACACACACACACACACACACACACACACACACACACACACACACACATATATATATATATATATATATATATATATCATAGTTAATTAAAACCTAATGTTTTATTTTTCCTTTAACCTCACTTATAAAAAAAATTAAAGACAATAACTTTTATGAATATTACATCATAACAAAAAATTTATATCAATTACTCGAGAAAAGTGAGAGAATGAGAAGCATCTTGTTAATGAAACTTTCAGCCTCCCTCAATGTACCTGACCCACCAAGAAGATAAAAAAATACAACCTTAATGACAGTGAGCTGTCTGCCCTGAAAGAAGGTTCTTCAACCAGCCTTCCATGGCTACATGCCAATGCATGTCTTTGTTAATCTAAGTGCTCTCTGATAAAGAACATCTAGTTTAAACCTGATATGACACTTTAATATATACTTATAATATGGGGTTAGATAACAAAGCATAAGTTATGACTACTGATCACATAATAACAATTGACGAAGTTCTGTTTAATCATTTTGTTTTGCCAAAAAAATACAACTTCAAGTGATGTCATAATAGAGTAATGTTAAATTCCCTCTTATTATTTTATGAAAAATGTTAATCAATATTTTTACGATACTTACTGAAAAATTAAAATATTTTTTATCATCAAAATAATTATTGTGCGCTCACTATGATTTTTTATACATTTTTAGCACAATTTTAAATAAAATAATTATAAATTTTTAATTGATAAAATTAATGATATTATACATGTAAAAACTATATCATAATTTAAAATATCTAATTTTTTTAAATTATATATTATATTTCACTTAATATTTTACATCCACACACATATGTATAGCTTTTCTCTCTTCTCTTTCTTTTTTTTTTTTCTCGTCAATTATCAGTATAGAAAACATTATTGGTACAATAAATTTATCATAATAAATTACGAATTAGATAAATAAAAGAAAAGAAAACCATTAAATGAATGGTGTAACGAAAAAAATTAAAGACAATTATTAATCTTCAAAGTTTTTACAAAAACAATTTAACCAAGTCTAAACACTCGTGCTAGTGTCTAAAAACATTATCCCCATGACAAAATAATAGGTGATCAAATGAATCAATTAAGATTTAGGTAAAGTAGCTATACTAATCTGAAAGTTCATAAACATTACTACTCCTATCTCTCTTGCTAACAAATATTTCCGTGAAAAAAATGTTGCAAACAAAGCAGAATGTGAGTTATCAGCTCTCTACAGGAACACGCCGAAAAAAGCCAGCGTTGAACAGAACGCTGACTCTTGACAATGCCTCGTGCATTCTCCAAAAGTCGAGCCATTTTCATTTCATTAGACGAGAAATGCACTCCATGTCTCGATTCTTTTAACATTTGTCATTACCACGCAAACAATAGTACTCTCTTCGGCTCTAAGGAAAAGTGTAAAAAAAGCTATAAAATCCATTTAAGTATTTCATCTTTAATAAACTTGCTCAAACATGAAACATCTTAATCGGATTTATCAAAAGTAAAGAGAAAAAAAGGACTGAAATCACGTGACAGGCGCAGTACTCAATAAAAATAGTCGAATTTTCGAGATAAGAGCCCACGAGGTGGATTGGTCCTTTTCTTCTCAGAGTGAATAATTATGTCTTCCCCGTCACTAGCTACTAGCCAGATCAACAAAGTTAAAATTGCACACAACAACATACTTTGACTCTAATTTTGACCATATTACTAAGCTGGAATACAAGTCTTCCACTACCAATTGAAATTACACTTTAATAAATTACACAGCACAACCGTTAATCAAAGACACACGACCGCTCGTGGATTCTTATTTGAACAAACCAAAGCTGAGTCATAAAACAATGACACAAACCCTGAGACACACAAAGAGCTTTGTCATATTCAATGGCAAAAGATAACCTTAAGCTCGCGCGGGGAGGAACACTGGTGCATGAGCGAAGGATTATCATGCGCGAAGGTAAACGTGGAAGGACATGCGTGTTTAAAGAAAGTGGAGTACACCGAGGCCTTACACGTTTGGGGGTTGTTGTAATGGTTCCTACAGCACAACTCATCCGTGTGAAAAGCTTCGCACCCACTCTTACACGCCACCACAGGACCGTGACCTGCGGGTACACGGTGCTGCAGCGGAGGAGGACACGTGGCAACTAAATCGGTACGACAACCCACGACGGGACACATGCCTTTCCCCTCGTGCGGTGTGACCGTCATGGGGACGTTAAAACCGTCGACGAGGCTAACGCCGTAAGAGGAGAAGTCGCCGTTACCGTGATGCACTTCCAACTGTGCCAGCGTGGCGGGGGCGGAGCCGCCGGCGCCGTTGCACTGGAGGCGGCCGCCGCAGTCGCCGCTGACGCAGGAGAAGTGGTTGCCGTTGTAACCGCAGCCGGTTCTGGCCCAGACCCGGCCCGACCAATGGGTGTCGGGTACGGGGATGGACTGGTGGGTGAGGGTGTGGAGGACGAAGCCGCCGCCTGCGAGAACTGGGTGGCCGGCATTGGGCTGGATGGCGGGCCAGACGGTGTAGTTGCAGTTGTTAACGAGGGTTAGAAAAAGTGACTGTGTGGGTGTGGAGAATGTGATGACTGTGAGAATGAGGAACGAGTATATGAGTAGAGATGGAGCCATGGCTTTGAAGGTTATGCTGCGAAGGGTTTTATTTGCTTTCATTTATAGACAGTGTTTAGTGTAAATTTCAACGTATTTCAATTATATTTGAAATTATTTTTTTAAAATAACAATAGAAAAGAAAGACATTTAAATAACTCAAATTTTAAAAAATTTATTTAATTTTACATTTTAAGAAAGAAGGAGAAAACGGAGGGTGTCATCTCTGGTGTGTTACGGAATGGGTGATACTTTTGTGTAATTTTCGTAAGACTGGACTGCCCTTTCTCTGGGTAGGGGTATTTGGTGTGGTGAGGGGCAAAGTTGGCATAGTAAGCAAGAAGGGAAAGATAGCTTTTTTCTGTGTGTTTTTGTCCTTTCGGTGAATTCTGAAAAGTTAGTCTGAACAAAGGACAAGACATGTCAGTGGGGTAACTGGTGATTCCGGTGAGCTGAACTGAGGTCCGAGGGGGTGCAAGTCTCGAACCTTCCACCTCCGTAATCTTAATACTAATTTATATATCTTCAAATTTTAAGATATATTAGTTTTAATTTTTTTATTTTGGTTTCCACTTTTTCTAAATTCCTCACTTTTGATGTATGAAGTTGAGATTTTACAAAATTTAAATGCATTACTATCTTTTAGTTAGCTAAATCATTATTAAAAAATATTAAATTTAAAAAATTTAAAATTTTATGAAATTATAAGAATAAAAATATATTTAAAATTAAAGATATTTAGTTTATTTATTATTTGAATTTTATTAATGATGTTTTCTTTAAAAAAACAAAATAATTGGTTAAACTTGTCGAAATACGAAACGAGGGCTTATTTGGAACTTGGCGTACTTGGGTGAGTGGGTGCAAGATTGCTACTTGTTATGGAGATAAGAAGCTCTGTTTTCGAGGTCATTGTCGGTCAACTTTCTTTTTTCAAGGTGACCAGAATTTTTTTATTTTTATTTTTTGCGTTTAAAATTTATGTTAAACGTAAGTTATGGGTTGAATAATTTATTTTCTATTAAATATTATAATAGTTTTAAAATATAGTTCATTTTTAAAAAATAAAAATATTTTAAATTTGGTAGGACATTAATTTTAAGTTTACTTTAATTTAAAAATTTAAAAATAATATTCTAAAAATTAGTATTTAATACAAGATAAATTATACGACATAATAAAAATTTTAAAAATTATTTTTATTTATTTTAAATTTTATCTATAAATAAAAATATTAAGGAGATAAGTTCACGTCAAAGGAACAATGTCAGGCAGTATAATTGATTCAAAATTATATAATATTTTAAATTTAGTTCAAATATACTTAAGTATTATTTTCGTATTGTTATATTAAATATAGATCTAGAATATAAATATAAAGACATTTTAATAAAGAAGACTTAGTATTAGATATTTAAACTTAGTTTTAGTTTCAAGAGTTGAGATTAATACATTTTTATTTGTAATGTCATTTACTTTTTTTTATTAAGAATTTCATTTTTAATTTAATTTTAATGTTTCTGAATTTTAATTTTTCTCTTTTATTTAAATTTATTTTATGCAATAATATATTTATCATCAATAAAAAATCCATTTATTTTAAATTTATACAAAAATTAAATTTAAAATAATTATACTATATATCTTTAATTTTTATTTTACAAAATATTTTAATTCAATAATATCCATGCAATGTATTAATATTATTTCATATAAAAATAATAAAAAACTTTTGTGATGAATATTTTAAAAATTCATCACATTGTTTTCTTTAGGTCAGTATTTTAGTCCATTTTCATTGGTTATTACATTGCTAACATGTTATTTGGTTTGGGCCTAACTAGTGTCTCTTAGATTAGGTCCAAAAGAAAATAGCTTTAACCAAGGGAGCAAGAATAGTCAAACTTTTATTGGGCCCTTCAAAACAATTAGGTTCTGTCGAAATATTCTATTTACCCAACAGGCAACGTTTGTTTTTGCATTGGCCATTGAGGCTGATGATTCTCTGTCACTGAAGAACAAAGGGAATGAAAATAAACCCCACTTATCTAATTTTGTTTACTTTTTTTTTTACACTCTCTCTCTTTCTCTCTCTCTATCTGTTTCATTTTTCCTTCAAACAGAACATAAAGGCATAAACTGATTTATGGATAACAAAATTTATGATGAGGTAAATTATTGCATAATATACTGTACTCGTGTAAAATAAAATGTATCGGACACTAATATATGGAGACATCACTGATTATGGTAGTTAAATATTTCATAATAATTTATTGAGACATCACTTAAGTGCATTAAGTTTGTGCAAATATTTATAGTGAATAAATTAGAGCAAACCAGACCAGTGGATTGGTTTAACTTAAGCAGATCATTGTCCTAATTTTATGGGCCACACGGTTTTTCATTTAGGTCGCTGCCACAATTTAGTGTGGGGTTCGGTGATTGATTTGATTAGAGGCCAATTCAAGCAATCATAACAACACTTGACTTTGTAACTAAAGATTTTCATCATCTCTCGCATAAGTCAGGCTGTCTATCATACTAGCTATAGCCTCTTAGTCAACTTCTTAAAATAAACGTACAAAAGGATAACAATTAACAAAGCAATGTATTAAGGCCAAGTGCAATGAACAAGGAATCTACATTGGCACACACAACACATAGTTTAGATGTAAAACCTATTCAACAATTGAGCATTATTACACTACGAAATAACTCAAATCATATCAAAAGGCAATTCAATGCTTTATATAAACGATTTTTCTGATCCATACAAAATTGCATATAATAAGAAGTTAAGTATAATATATTTTTTTTATTAAAATTATAACATTTAATATAATCAGTAAATTAAAATTTGTAATTTATAATAACAAAAAGTTTACCATACATAATTTTTTCATGTATAATATTGCATAAGCTTTATAGAGAAAAATATTAACATGTTTTTTAACATACCATTTATTATTAGTTAAAATTTATTAAAATTTTAAAAAACATAAAAAATAAATATTAATTTGTGTGAAAAAAGTGAAACTAAAATTAATTTCTTTTAATTTTTAATAAATTTTAAGTGAAGGGTATATTACTAGAATTACTCATATGTATAGTACTTCTGAAATTTATCAGCATCTATATCAATTGAAGTTGCTTTAACTTAATTTATGACCACAGATTACAGAGAATGCAAATATGTTAAGTAATAGGAAAAAATAATTGTTTAGAGAGGGTGCCGACATAACGGCTAAGCACTCAATAGAAAAATAATAGCAAGTACTTGTAAAATTATCACGGAAGCAATGATAACAGTTAAGAAGTCAATCCCTAATGAGGATAAAAACAGATTCTCGATCTTTTATAGTCGCAGTGTAATGGCATAGGATTCCCGGGTATCTTTTTACAAACATTCTCGCATAAATTTTCAAGTTTCGTCATGATTATATAATACCAAAAGATATAGCATATAAAAACTACGACGAACTCGTGACTTACGCCGCTAAGAGCGCAATACTCCTATTCACTAGAAGTGTGCCACAGATGAGAAGACAAATTTTCGTTCATCTCCTCTTTGCATGGCTTCTGATTGCAGCCTCTGCACTTAATCACGTCGCTGCTAATGTTCAGAACATGCAGTCAGGTATTTCACATTATCCTGTAAATGGTTCTGAAACTATCTTCTACTTGACTCTGCAATGGTTATTGCAACTAATTGTATGTCACGTTACTCCATATTTCTGCACACAGTTCATTTCAAGCTCAGAACCATACAGGCTAGCCCAAAGCCGCACACTGGACATGTCATACCTTCATGGGTTAGTAATGGACATCAATAACTTTTTTTTAAAATTAATTCTTCTTTAATTTTACTGAAAAATTGTATGACAGTATTCTGATTCTTTTTTTCTTTGGTCATGGACAATATTCTGATTCGAACAACAAAAACCACAGGCTAAAGAAGAGAAGAATCGTAAAAGCCCATCAGGGCCTAACCCTATAGGTAATCACCGGCCGCCATCTAAACCATAAAGGGGTGGAAACACTCATTCTTCGGCAGCATTCCGTAGAGACATCAATAGTCATTTCTCTCAAGTCATAGGAGATTAATGAACAAGTGTAGACTCGTAATTCTGCTTCTAGGAGCATTGTGTTTGTACAAAAGAGTATTTAATTGAATATTCGTACTTTATAAGCCAATGCATTGACGTTGTCTGACGGTATGCAAATTTTGATTTATTAAACAACCGGCTCGTTAAGTTTGTTGAAGACACTTCCTTAACAATTACACTAAGTAGTATATGTTCACAAACAGGCAGTGTACTTAACACCACTAGGCCTTAAGGCCTTAACAAAAACACCTTTAATAATTTTAAGACTCAGACCTGATTGTGAAGCACTCCATTAGTTCTAACACCATCGTCTCTCAACTTGGTTTTAACATTAACAAAATTCGGATTCCGTTCAACAATATGTTTCAATAGTCAGCATGCCGTGTCTCTCTCCATTCCATGTAAGATTTTATGCTCCCCAGGTTCCAGGGGCAAAAAAATATTCTGAACTGTAAGAAATTAAACAATGTCACAAGACAATTTGCTTTGGCTAACATGTAGAACAACTTAACGCAACAAAGATAATTTGCTGGATTAAATTACAAATTCAATAAATTTTGCCAACCCAAAAATGTTATAATCTCTTGAGATATACAAGACTCGCTATAAACTACAAACAACCGAAAGCTGTCCGTTATACAGCACGCTTCCGCTTTGAACGCTTGCTTCTTCTTTCCCTAGAAAAACTTTGTTGAACCTCTTCGCCAACTTTAGAAGCATAAGCTTCTTCTCCTACCTCCTGTCCCTGTAACAAGTTAAACTAAGCATTGGGAATTTTTTGTAAAAGAATTAAAATCCCAAACAAAAATCTTAATATATAACGAAGTCACATTAATTTTCTTAAAACAAAAAACAAGAATAAGGACAACTGCAAAACCAAGTGGCCACGTGACAGAATGGGACGGAAATCAGGACTGGGATCGTTTAGATGGTTAGGAGGGATGGGAGAAATAACAAAACAGGAAGCGGGCGGAAGAAAAAATTAAGAAAAATGAGTTTGGAAAAGGGTAAGAAAGAAACGGACTTCTCAAATTGCCAGGGATATTTGTATTTTCTTTTTCACAGAGAACGCATACCAATTTCTGCACACATTTTACCTTTGCTAGTGATATACTGGTAGTCATATTGTTAGCAGGTTTATAGTAAATAAATATGCAGTGCGTCGGATCGTTCCACTCTAGTTTTCTACAACCTTGTTAGTAGCATAGCAAGACCGCTCTGTGAGCTACAGAAAATATATATTGAAGGTAGTTTATATGTATCCACATTGTCAGTTTCAGTAGCAATCGATTTGAATTCATTTATAATATAATTTTCACTTGCACTGTTAAGTATCATGGCAGCAAGGCTTTAAAAATGAAGCAATAAATATGCTTTGGATGGCCAGGGAAGCCAAAGTTAATTGGAAGATCTTCAACAACGAACCAATCAAGAATCACAAAAGCAGACTAAATACATCATCGAATTTAACCTTACTGACACGGGTGTAAGAGTGCTTGTCAATTAAATGTTGTTCAACTTTTCTAATCTTCTTCAAGGATGACTTCTTCCTCATACTTCCCAACAGTATGCAGCACTTAACTGAGGTTGATGGCTTATGGAACTTAGAATTTTATATAAACGAAAGATGGAGAGCATCTCCTACAACAGAGAAAAATCCTATGCTAACAGAGTTACAACTTACAGCTAGAAAGATAAACTAGAAAATTCTAAAAAGATAACCAGATGTGTGGCCCATAGGACTGTGGTAGTGGCCCTATACATACATGTTCAACCTTTTCTTTCACTAATTAATTGAACCCCCTTTTCCCCTTTTCATTCTTCCCTGTTCTCCCCTCGATTCCCATCTCCCTTTTCCCTCTTCATTTATCCGCAAGTAGTTTTGCTCAAGAATGACCAAGTGCAACTAAAATTATGCAACAGGGAGAGAATTTTGAATTTTAAATCTAAAGCTGGCTGGGAGCGACTATTTTTTCTTATATGCAGGCAAATTAACTAGATGTTTCATCTTGGAAGTGATTGGAAATTAAGGTTAGTTGGACATTTCTCTTCGTATAACAGCATTGAATTTATAGATCAGGTTTCTGTGCAATATCAAATCACGTTAATGTGAAGATTTTTCAAATTCCTTTAATTCTTCTTTCATCTCAGCAGGACAGATCTATTACATAAAAATGATAACCAAGAAACACAGAAGTTGAATATTTACCTTATTGTCACTTTCTACATCCGAGACATCATCAGAAGCAGAATCCAGCGGCTGAACTTCTTCCACAGGAAGTGCCTTGCTTAACTTTTTCTTCTTCTCCTCTTCTTTTAACTGCTTAAACCTGTAGATCACCATTTTGTTATCCAAGAGGAGTTGAAACTCTCAATCTTGTAGCAGAAAACACTGACCTTTCACCAGCTCTTTCTGGCTGCGAAGCTGATCTTTTAGCACGCCCTGCAGTAATAATTCCACTAGCATTTTCACTCACAACAGGCTTTGCACCTCCAAATTTGCGCAACCATACTTGTTGAGCTGTGCTCAGGACATTGTTTGTAAACCTAGTAAAAGAAATAGAAATCAGGCAGATATGAAATTGTTTCATTTATTTCCCTTGGCACAAAATTAATGTTCTCAAAACTGTCTCCCTAAACCAAAGTTTTATCATGAGAAAGCATTCACTTGATGAACATGCTATTATTTTCTTCAGAATCAATTTTATTTCACAGGCATTTCTCTCTCTCTTTGTATGTCTGTGTTGCATGCATTAGGCAGGCATATCAAGGAAATGACTTCTGAATATATTAGCAACCCTTAATAAAACAGCATGTTAGATGTAATGGCAAAACTATGAAAAATATTTTTTTTTTAATAGAAAGGATTTTATCAATATAGTTTGTGAAAAACTAACCAGTAAATTGTTAGTCCTGATGGGACAGACAAGGAGAAGTAGCCAATCATGAGTGGAAGAAACTTGAAAAGAAGCAGTGAATTCTTTTGAGAAGGATCTGTCTGTCAAAAGATGTCATTTAGGCCAGCCTTGAAATCACAAAAAAAAAAAAGAAAAACAGGAATAACTGATATGTTTACCTCAGGAGGTTTCATGATTTCCATTGACACATATTGAGAAACAACAAGAAGAAGAGGTAAGACAAGATATGCTGCGGTATCACCCCAACCCAAAGGTGGATGTCCATCCTGCATAAAAAATGTTTGTTATGATACTGTATAAGGACAATGTACAAAAACAATCTACATAATAGATTTTTTTATTTTTTTTCGAAAGGAAAGAAAATAAGGAAAAAGAGTCAATCAAAGAGAAGAAATACTCAAGTCTAAAAGAATATAAAGTCATCTTTCAAGGTGGTCAAACATATGCCACATATACCGCACCATTGAGCTCCATAAAAAAATCACAAAGCAACTTATAGTAATATGCATTCCAACAAGAACAATGCTTCACTAAACCCAAACTGTTTGCATGTCTAGAAAAGAGACCAATGATCATAAAACTCCATGATTTCAACCCAGATAAAAAACTCAGAAAATCACCATATTTGATCATAAATTAAGTCAATGCTAAACGAGCATATCTCACATTTACTGAAACCTAAGAAGAGTAGCTGCTATAATATTGCAAATGGGTGAAATGAAAAGGAACCAGGCAGATGTTGTAGTGAACAGAGTCAACAGACTATCCCCTCCCCCCATAAAAATATAAATAAATAAATAAATAATAAGCTAAATTCCGGACAACAATTTTTATTCCACAACATGTACTGCATGTTATATACAATTTCATGTTATAAGGGCTCAAGAACCACTGCTAGGAAAAAGTTCCAAAAAAAATAGCTGCAAAGAATAAATAGTCGGATGTCTAGAAATCATAATGTTAGAGACTCATAGGCATTAGGGGGGAAAAAGCCAACTGCAAATTATCATTCCATTAATGAAGCAAAAAATATCATTCTTACCACAAACGGAAAAAGCCAAGAAATTCCAGATCCACTCTGCCTGGCAGCAATGGTAGTAGGACCACCCAAAGAGGGGATCCAAAAGAAACCCTCTGTTAAAAGTCCCTTCAAATTAAAGGTTTTCCATAATTAGCAAAAATATATTTTCCATGTGTAGTTCATCCATCAAAATCTCTGCAAATTACAAAGGTTTAGACCACTAATTACCTCATTTGCCACATTTGATAAAGCTTGATAGAGACCAATCCAAACTGGAATCGTAGCCAAAGTCGGTAAACAACCTATAAAAATTCATGAAATTGCTGTTGAGAGCGTATGGCATTATATGAATAGACTATATACAAAAACCAGACTAAGTCTCTAAGATAACAAGCATCGCTAATGTTGAAAAAAAGTTCAGGGGACAACGTGGATGAACAAAAGAAAAACATGTTGCTATAAGAACCACTACTTTAAAACCATATTTTTTGGTCATGGTATACGAGCACAATTGAGTTGTGTTCATACAAGTGCTATTAGTTCTGTCGCCAGTGAATTATTGTATTAAACCAGTGTTGAGAAGAAGAAAAGAAAACCAAAATTATGACAAAGTACCTGCCAGTGGATTAACCCCGGCCTGCCGATATAGCCTTGATGTCTCAAGTTGTATCCTTTCCTTAAAAAGAGGGCAAAAATTGAATAATTTAGAAAGAACCGTGCCATTGTTTTAAGGTAAAACAACATCAATATTTACTTGAGATCAAATTGGATGCTTAATAACCAACACCATCCCTCACCTGATTGCCAGCGTATCTTTGTTGAATGGCCTTAATTTTTGGTTGAAGATTTTGCATAGCCAGTGTTGATTCAACCTATATACATTTAATTAAAATCAGCACTTTGTGTAGTCAAGTGAAGCATATATTTTAAATTTCATATAATTGAAAGTTCAAATTCATATACAGTTAATCCAGATTATTGTGAAGGAGTATGTCAGACTTTGAAGAATAAAATATTCCAATTACTTTAGCATGAAGGAAAAAACTGTTTCTAAAAAACACAATTTACATAACTTAAAGACTTCAGTAAATTTACAAATATGTTATTCCTTATTTGGCTAAAGAAATTGCTATAATCTGTACCAACCTGTTGCTTTGTCAAGGGAAGCGTAAGGCCCTTAACTACAACAGTGAGTAATATGATAGCAAATCCATATGCATAAGGCACATGCACTGCAGAAAGACCATCCTTCAACACCTGGAAATAAAAAAAAAACATGACATAACACATAAAAAACAAAGTGCCTAAATAACAAGAAGCAAACATTCACAATTGAAAATGTTAAATCCTCCAAAAATTACATTAAACACGGAAAGGAATAACTGCGCTTCCAATTAGTCAGGTAGTTTGTTCTCTTCCTTTTTTCAATAATAAATTACATATCAACTGTAAAACAAAGGGCCAAAGGAATTGTGTAATTCATGAACAGTTTAATAGAAATTAGAAAGCCATTGGTAACAAATATCACTACTCTTTCCAATTCCAAGAATGGCTCTCCATATCACAAGAAAGCAATGATTTCGACATAGATAGAACCCCTGGCAAATAACAGCACGAAAACTTTAACTTATTAATCGAATTCATAGCTGAAAAGTGAACATTAAACACTTCGTCCGCAGAATATCATCTCAGGCACAGAACTTACAAAGAATTGAACAATATTGTCATCATTCTTCTCCAGTAAACTTCGTTCAAAATCAACGATTCACTCTTCCTAAGCAAAACTCAACAACGAAGAGGAACATAAGATCATCTATGCAATTCTTCCTAAGCAAAACTCAACGACGAAGAGGAACTTAAGATCATGTATGCAATCTACACGACCTCGAGCAAACAAGCTCGACGAATTTCAAGGCTCGTACTCCGCACAGGATTGAATCACACAACTAGCTCAGTCTTAATACATGCAACAGAATCCTTATATAGAAGTTAACCACCAACAAGCACGAGTTGCGAAGTTCACCTTGAGAACAAACTCCATGGCTTCAGAGATGAAGCCGAACCAGCCTCCGTTCTTCTGTACGGCAACATCGGTGGAGGTCGCCACGTCGGTGGAAGTCGCCGGGTCCGCCGCAACCGCGGCATCGGCGAGCGTGTAAAGAAGGCCTTCAGCTCTGGTGACGATTCCGGCGAAGTCAATGGAGTGGTCAATGGATTGAATTGAGGGAATTTGGTGGAAGCTGAAGTTAACCTTGGTGGTGACTAGCCTGGTGCGGTGGGGGGAGTGGTGGCGAGGGAGCGAGGGAAGCGGCGTACCGATGAATGAGGGAGAAGAAATGAGTGTCTTGGCCATGGATGAGAAGCTTTTGAAGGAGGTTTTGCAGGGACGTGTTCAGCTTCTCATAACGGATTAGAGATGAGAGAATATTTTGCGAATTATCCCCATTTTTTTTGCGAGGCAAGGACAAAGCGCACGATGGCCATAGCTAGATTTTCCTTCTGGTTTTCAGCCAGGGGCTGAGTGCCACGTCACAAGATTAGGGGCTCTATGGTCTTTGCAAATTTATTAATTTCAACAAATCGCGATATTTTTTTTCCAATAAGGCCGAAAATGGAGTTTTTTTTAAATTATGATTATAAACTTTTTATTCTTAATTTTTTGTTTCATAGAGTAAAACTCAAATGTTAAATTTATATACTTTAAATAAATGGCTTAGCATTGAATTAGACACAAATTTAAAGCGTTCACTTTAACTTAATTTATTAGCACCTTGTAATAAATCAAGTTTATAATGATATTTTTTATATTATCTTGATTCTTTAAAAATGAGTGATATTAACGTTTTATTTTTAATTTAATATGACATTTAAAAATAATATATAGTAAAATATAAAATTATAAAAATAAGAGATTCAACAAGTTATTATTAACAATTTTTTATATGATCATAAAAAATTAAAAAGAAATAAAGAAAAAATTTAAAAATTTTAAAGTATACAAAATTGACATTAAAAATTTTTAAATGGAAAATTTTGACATTAATATAAAAAAATTATTTTAAAAAATAAACATACAAGTTTATAAAAAATTCAAACTGATCAATATTACATTTTCATAATTTTTCACAAAGTTTTATGTTTCAGTAATTTTTTCTAAATTTTTCATATTAAAAAAAGGCAAATAACAACTCCCATACATAACTATGCCAGTGATGTTGTTACTTGTTTTTAAAGTTAATATATAAATTCGAGCAAAAAATATAATATGTAAAAATTAGTCATCTATACTACAATATTTTTCAATTTATTTATTACGTAAACTTTTATCTATATTTTAATTTTGTTTGAAAATTAATAACGATAATTAAAATTATGATGAAGTTATGTGCTTTTTATGTGACCTCTCTAAATAAAGAATTCGAAATTTGTTGCGTTAGTAAAAATGTGATAATATTATATTATGCGATAGAAATGTATAAAATGTTAAACAGTGATTCGACATAAATAATGGTATTAGTTTTATTATAATCAATTAATGTCTGGTAACTAGTGACACCGTTGCGTGAGATTGTTTAAAAGTTTAACATGTAATCTTTATATGAATTTAACCACCATACATTGCCTATTTTATTTCTTTTGTAATCTTTGTTTTATTCTTTAATGATGTACTTTTAAATAACCTGGATTTCATAAATAAACTCATTTTCACAGGCCTTCAACGTTTTTTTCTTTCTTTTTTTTAATTTCTACCCAACATTTTAACTAAATATTTTACTTTCTCATTTTTTTTCTCGTTCTTATTGTTTCTTCATCTTTTCGCTTTTTTTCTTGCGAATTCTTCAAATTCAGACATGAACACTCCTACAGTGACGCGTTATGAGATTAAGGATTTTAGGTTCATTGCAAATATATAATTTCGACAAATGACAAATCCTTGCTTCCATTTTAAGAGAATATAAACTCTATCAACCCTAAATGATTTTCAACTGATTTCAACCAAACGCTTAGTAATAAGCAACTTCACATTTGCCGCTGGAGATGCTTTATAATTTCTATACCAATCCATTTATTTTATATTTTAAACTATTTATAATTAAATTTCAATTAAAAGAGAAGCGTGGTTTTGAAAATATATATCCGAACTATACATAGCGATTAGCAACTTTAGTAATTATACTTTGCGAGGGAAATATCTTCCTCTGAATATCGGTTTACCTGATATTTAGAAGATATGTTTGTAAAAATAAGCAAAATTTTCATTTTTTATTCTTATAATAGTTTTTTTTTTTGTTATTTAACAGTTTTTTTTATTTAAAGATTTATTTGGTATAAAAAAAATATTTTAAGTTAAAGGTCATGTTAAAGGAAGTTACATTTCGACAAAATTTTGAGCGTAAAAAAAGGAGTCAAAAAATAGGCCTGAACATAAGAGCATAGTGAAAGATTATTCAAAACCTTTAGTTTTTATTAAAAGTGACACATTTCGAGTTATTTTAAGGATATTTTTGTCACATTGTTGATTTTTCTCTAAGCTGCTTGAAAGACAAGAAAATATTTTAAGTCCACAAAATTAAAGGCTTTTTTGAGGAGTTTTGAAGAGTTTCCAAGTCACTGACACCCAAAACTGCTCAAAAAACAGGATTGATAAGAAAATATTCTAAGTCCACAAAAAACTGATGGCTTTTCGAGGCGTTTTGAGGAAGTTTTCAAGTCCTTGACACCCAAAACTACTCAAAAAACAGGAAGTTGTCAGAAAATATTCTAAGTCCATAAACTTGGTTGAGCTCCAAAGTCCCTCCAGAATTTCTCAAAAAACAGAAAGTGATCAGGAAATATTCTAAGTCCACAAACTTGGTTGAGCTCCAGATGTCCTCCAGAATTACTCAAAAAATAGAAATGAGCAAAGAAAATATTTTAAGTCCACAAGACCAAGATAAGCTCTCAAAACTTCAGAATTGCTCGAAAAGAGAAGTCAAGAAGAAATTATTCTAAGGCCATAATACTAAATGAGTCTCTTGGGTTTCTCCCATAAATATTCGAAAGATAGAAAAACAAGAGTCTTGATAGGTCAAGTCATTGCAAAATTCAAAAGCGGTTACCAGCAGTTATCAACATTCACCACTACGCAAAGGAGATCGTGGGCAATAGCAGTTACGAAAGAAGTCCCAATCAACAACACGATCATAAGTAATCGTGGATAATGTGCATCAACAGTTGAAGGAAGTTACTAAGAAGTGCCCGCAAAAGGAGGAGAACGGTGGTCTTCATGTCTATAAATACTCCAAAGCACCATTTTACAAATGATGACTTTTTGCACCCAAACACTGCACCTAAACTTTCTGAAACGTTGAAACCCTGCACCGTGCCAGACACCAGCTACAAGGAGACCCACGGTAGCCGCTGTTCGCCGTTGTGAGGAGTCGTACATTTACATTCCAGCATATTTACATTCTTGCACATTTACCTTTCTACAATTTATTTCCGGCTTCTTTGTTTGCTTTGGTTCCTTTTTCTGCAATTTACTTTCTATTTAGCACATTTATGTAAAAAACATCTACTTTTGATTAAATTCTGTTTCATTATTAGTTGCTATTTCTGTTTAATCCTCTGCTTTATAACGTCAATCATACTGTTACGTTAATAACACACTTAAAAGAATTTAAGAAAGACCTAATCCAGTCCCCATATTATTCTTTAATTATTTATTTACAATTGTCATTTTTCACTGTAAACAAGATTAAAATAAAAAAATTATATATTTAAATTGTTGTATTTTGAAGTACAAGATATACGTACATACAGTATACCTTAAAAAAAAAACGGAAATAATTTGGTAATGGCAATTATAACAATGATTTATTTATAAAATATTTTTATTATTAATATAGTTACAATAGTAATATATCGTGAGTTTCTTATCTAGGCTTAAGACTGTAAATAAAATTATAGGTAAAGTATTATTATTAGTATACTTATAAGTTGTTAATCGAAATAAAAAATAATAAATACTCTTAAATAATTAGTAATCAGTAAAATTTGAAAAGATAAATTACAGCAAATCTGTAAAATGGACCTTCTCTCCTCTTCAACTTATCATAATGATGATATTGAGCATACAGACCCAATAAAAAAAAACGTTAACGAGCATTTTTGCTTTTGAACACGCGCATAAGTATTTTACACGGCGTGAATGAAATCCAATTGGCCAGTTACATAAAGCGCACGGACGACGTCACCAATTTCAGCCAATGGCGCGGGAGAAAGGAAAAAAAATCTATCCAACGCAGAAAAAAGCCACCGCCACTCGTAAACGGTTAGCAATTTTAGTTTCAGCGCGTGGGGCTCCAACGCGTGCCACGCCACCGCGGATTCCTAATCGGAAAATTCTCGAATCAACTAGAGAACGTTGAAGAACCCCACACACCCCACTTAACACTTCACTTTTTACTCAACCCAATTACATTAAAAAACAAAATATCCTACCGTCCAAATTATTGATCCAACGGTTCACAACTCACTGACCGAACCTTCCAGAATTCGAACCTGTTCTTTATAACACACCACTTCCCTCCTTGCTCCTCAATTCAGTTTCTGAATTTGCCGTAGTTTTTATTCCTTTTCTCTAGAAATCGCGTTTTTAGCCTCTTAAGGCAAAATTGTTGAGTAATTATGGCTGGAAAAGGCGAGGGTCCGGCGATCGGAATCGATTTGGGAACGACTTACTCTTGCGTCGGCGTTTGGCAGCACGATCGTGTTGAAATCATTGCCAATGACCAGGGTAACAGAACTACCCCTTCCTACGTGGCTTTCACTGACACAGAACGCTTGATCGGCGATGCGGCAAAGAACCAGGTCGCTATGAACCCAATCAACACTGTTTTTGGTAAGTACTCTCAAATGATGCTCTTAACACTTCATATTTTGCGATTTTCTTCTCTTCTGGGGATTTTGTAACTTATTCATGTCAACTTTTGTCGAATATTCAAATTTAAATACACTTTTGTTTAACCTTAGCCAGTGCTCTGTTACGATACTTATCGTTTTTATTTATAGAAAAGTGAGATTTAATAGTTGATTTGTGTTTTAAGAGGTGTTTGGCAGACGTTTATTAAGTAGGTTTTAATTTTCTTTGAAATTAATAAATTAACCTAATAAATGAATGCTTAATTAAATTCTCAGTGCATGCAAAAGCATCCTTAGTTATACAATTAAATTGTGAATTGTTTGTTGACTATGTTGGCTTGATTTTGGCGCTGTCCAGATGCTAAGCGTTTGATTGGAAGACGTTATAGCGATGCTTCGGTGCAAAGTGACATGAAATTATGGCCGTTCAAGGTGGTTGCTGGTCCTGGCGACAAGCCTATGATTGTGGTGACTTACAAGGGGGAGGAGAAGCAGTTTTCTGCGGAGGAGATATCTTCCATGGTTCTTATGAAGATGAAGGAGATTGCGGAGGCGTATTTAGGTTCCACGGTGAAGAATGCCGTGGTCACCGTGCCTGCTTATTTCAACGATTCTCAGCGTCAAGCTACGAAGGACGCTGGTGTCATTTCTGGTCTCAACGTGATGCGAATTATCAACGAGCCTACCGCGGCTGCAATTGCTTACGGGCTAGACAAAAAGGCTAGTAGCTCCGGTGAAAAGAACGTTCTCATTTTCGACCTTGGTGGTGGGACTTTTGATGTTTCGCTTCTTACCATTGAAGAAGGTATTTTCGAGGTGAAAGCCACCGCTGGTGATACTCACTTGGGAGGTGAAGATTTTGACAACAGAATGGTCAACCATTTTGTTCAGGAATTCAAGCGGAAAAACAAGAAGGATATTAGTGGAAATGCCAGGGCTCTCAGGAGGTTGAGAACTGCATGCGAGAGGGCAAAGAGGACTCTTTCCTCTACCGCTCAAACCACCATTGAGATTGACTCTTTGTATGAGGGTATTGACTTCTACACAACTATCACCCGTGCTCGGTTTGAGGAGCTTAACATGGATCTATTCAGGAAGTGTATGGAGCCTGTGGAGAAATGTTTGAGAGATGCGAAGATGGATAAGAGTAGTGTCCATGATGTTGTTCTTGTGGGTGGATCTACTAGGATCCCCAAGGTTCAACAGCTATTGCAAGACTTCTTCAATGGAAAGGAGCTTTGTAAGAGCATCAACCCTGATGAAGCTGTTGCCTATGGTGCTGCTGTGCAGGCTGCTATTCTCAGCGGCGAGGGTAATGAGAAGGTGCAAGATCTTCTATTGCTGGATGTTACGCCTCTCTCCCTTGGTTTGGAGACTGCAGGAGGAGTCATGACTGTGTTGATTCCCAGAAACACAACCATTCCAACCAAGAAGGAGCAGGTGTTTTCAACCTACTCCGACAACCAACCTGGTGTGTTGATTCAGGTCTACGAGGGTGAACGTACGAGGACTCGTGATAACAATTTGCTTGGCAAGTTTGAGTTGTCTGGTATTCCTCCAGCCCCTAGGGGTGTTCCTCAGATCAATGTTTGCTTCGATATTGACGCCAATGGTATTTTGAATGTGTCTGCCGAAGACAAGACCACTGGACAGAAGAACAAGATTACAATTACCAATGACAAGGGTAGACTGTCTAAGGAGGAGATTGAGAAGATGGTGCAGGAAGCTGAGAAGTACAAAGCTGAGGACGAGGAGCACAAGAAGAAAGTGGAGGCCAAGAATGCTCTGGAGAATTATGCCTATAACATGAGGAACACAATAAAAGACGACAAGATTGCTTCCAAGCTGCCTGCAGATGACAAGAAGAAAATTGAAGATGCAATTGAGCAGGCTATCCAATGGCTCGATGGAAACCAGCTTGCGGAGGCGGACGAGTTTGAGGACAAGATGAAGGAGTTGGAGAGCATTTGCAACCCCATCATAGCTAAAATGTACCAAGGTGCTGGTGGGGACGCGGGTGGAGCCATGGATGAGGATGCTCCTTCCGCTGCCGGTGGAAGCGGTGCTGGGCCCAAAATTGAGGAAGTCGATTAAGCTAAACGTTAGTCATGGGTCATGGGTGTTTCTTGATTTTTCCAAGACCCTTTCGGATAGTCACATGTCGTGCCTTCATGTTTTTAATTGGGATTGTTAAGTGTACTTTTCTCTCCGTATTTTCAATGTACTTTACCCCCCTTTTCAACGTGAATTATAAAAGAAGTAGTTTGCTCATATCATATGGTTTATCGATATCGTTTCCATATTGCTTAATGTTTACAATTACTATTACCATTCCGTTAACTGTGCTTCAAAGTTCAAAACATGGCTCGCCAAGTTTTGGCTTTGCATCATCCCGCAATAAACAGTCTTCTATTTTTTGTCAACGCATAAAGCAGTCATTTGATTGACGCTTTTTCTGGTGGTCTTTTTTCTTTGGTTGGTCTACAAGCAGTCTATTGATAAATGGATCACTGATTATAACAAATGGGGTGTAGGCCCAAAATAAGCTGGGCATGCTAATAGTTTGAAACTCTTGGTCCACCGAAAAAAAACTGAATTTCCGTTTTATTTTTAATAAGGATGTAAGGAACTTTAAGGCAGAGAATGGTTTGCTGAACAATAACAAAAGGGCGTAGATAATGGTTTGGCCCGTAGAAAATAGTTTGGAACGATAATTAAGGTTATATTCAATTTGTTAGTCGTGCTCAAGCTATTCTTGCCAAATAATCAAGTAAAATTGCGAAATAAAGTTAAAAAATTATTTGTACGTTTTTAAATTCTGTAACCGCATTGGTATTTCAAACTACAGATGTCTATGTGTACTGCATTATTTTTAGCAAATATGCCGTGAAGAACATATATTTTAGCATTTACTAATGTTACTGTGACATGCATGAATTTTAAGATTTATGCGTATTAAAAAAATCCATTTTAACACTTGATTGTATTACCGTAGATTCTACTAATAAAAAATGGTAAATTTTACGGTATTTTACAGAGAATATTCTATGATTTTTCACACATAAAATAATTATAATTGTTGATTTTATAAAATATATAATACCCTTTTAATTTTAAATATAATCGTTAAGTACCTGTAGAAAGTACTCTCAAATTTTGAAAGCAAATTCTATTCGGAAGAGTGAGGTGGGCTAAATTCTTTACAGGCCCAACTTGTTTTAAAATAGAGTTACGCCCTTGAAATTTTTGTACATCATGAACTTATTTGTTCTATTGCACTATTTGTTAATAGTTTTTTTATAGGTATTAAATTTTATATATCTTATTATTAAATAATATTTTTTATTGAATATAAAATTTATAAAAAAGATATACAAATAAAAAATTATTTGATAGTATTAGATAATTTTATTTAAGCATATAATGAATTTTAAAATAAAAATATTAATTATAAAATTACATATTTACAAATGATTAATTTATTTAAAATTTAAAATACATAATTAATCTTTTAACATTATATTATTTATAGGTTAAATTGATAAAATTTAATTATCATGAAAAATGATCAAGTATAATAACTTGATCTTCGTCCTTTTAAAATTATATACTATTAAAAAAATTACTTTTGTTATGGTTTATATCATAGAATTATTAAATTATTTTAAATAATTTAATTAAAATTATACTGATAGTATACCATTGTTGAATCATAAATAATAGCTGAGTTTCGTAATAATCACTTCAAAAGGCATATTTACATACTTTTTAATCAATTTTGATAATCTTTGTCAGAGAACTGGTTTTAATAAATTTCAATAAAAAAAATTATTTAAAAATAGTTATAAATGTACAGGTTTTTACATTAGCAATGTATTAAAATCTACTAGGATAAAACTATAACGGATCCTATTTCATAGTAATATAGTGTTTGAGTAATGTGCATGCAAAAGCAGCAGAACAAGGTGAAGGGAGGGAGTGGTGCTTCGATTCTCTTCCTCCAAACCATTCACGATAACATGCGGGGAATGAAAGGTGGCGCCACTTCACTACTCATCTTCCTTTGCGTACATCCACGTAGCCGTAGCAGAACAAACAGCATACACATGATAGGCTTTGTTCCGAACAAGTCTCCTCAGAACTCGTCAAAATAGCCATTCAGCTTATTTAAATACAAATAGCTGTATAACCATATTTAATATTTTAATTTGAAAATAAATTAATAATTTTCTTTCTATTCAAAAAATAATTATTGTTATAAAAGTATGTGTAGTTTAAAATTTTCTTAATTCAACGATTATTTCTCATATTTTCTTTCATATTTTATAATTTTAAATAATAATTAATAATGCTTTGAAAAAAGGTGTGTATTTTAACATCATAACTTAATTTTATCTTTATAACATTTGATTATTAATTATTAATAAATTGTGTTTATTAAAAATTATATTAATCATAATAAAATTATGATACTTGTTTTTAAAATTTATTCTATATTATAGGATTTGTTAACTTAAATTTTTAGAGTTGAATTTAAAAATTGAAAAGTAAATTTTTTAATTAAAAAAATTATTCTGAAGTTATAAAAATATAATAAATATTTTATTTTGTAATAATTTTTTGCACAAATAGTTGTTAAACTCAATCTTAAAAATGAGAGTCAACATTTTTTTATTTTATATATTTTTAAAGAAAATTAAAAAAAGTATCAATGTTAATATTTTTATTATATGTATAGATATTTATTTATAGAATCTTTAATTTCTTTAGCAAAAATTTAAAGTTTTACTGTTTTTTTTAATATGAAACTAAACTAAATATAAATAAAATTATTTAAAAAAAATCTTTTTATTTAGTACCTTTTCTTAAACATATTAATCATTTGAAAAAAATATGATTAAAACACGCATATGGATTTGTCTAATTTGTATTTATTTAAAAATTAGTATTTATAATTAAAATTTACATTTTAATTTCTATACGAGTATTTATTTTTATACCGTAGTCCATTTTATTTAACACCATTAATATGCTTATAAACGATAATGACTTGTAAAAAAAATTATATAAAGACTAAATTTTAATTTTTGTGTGTCTATAAACCAATTTAAAATAACGTGTAAAATATAAAAAAAATATTTTTATAATTTAATTTTGAAATAACTATATAACAAGAGACTATTAAGTATAAATACATACCATTTTTAAGATGCATTTAAAAGAATGAATTAAATATTAATTAATACTTTTTAAACGTTACTTCTACGAATAATAAATGATAGGAAATACTATAATATTGTAATAATATTTTTTAAATAGTTTATTTTTAATCAACCGTCGATTTTGACTGAAAGAATTTTTTTATTCATGATAATAATTTAAAGGAAAATTATAAAAAATAATTAAATAAAAGTAAAAAATAAAAAAAGGCATAAAATACTCTCAATTACTATAAAAATAAAAAATTGAGATTTTCGTATATTGTAAGTATATGTACAACTTTAGTGTCCCTAATTTTATTGATTTAAATATATTATAATATATATATATATATATATATATAATACAAAATTTTGATTAATTTAAATTAAATAAACTATTGTTACACATAGACTAAAATACGTAAATAAAAAATATAATTTAATGCATTGTCATTGTATTCTTTAGTATAATTTTAATATTTTTTAAAATTTACGTAGCCATAATGTTTATTAATAAATTTTGTCTTTAAAAAATATGTGAGTATTTAATATATATTGTCTAGGCATAAGACAATTTTATTCAAATTAGTTAAGAGTGTTTGATATTTTTATCTTTTTAAAGATAAATTTTACAGTATCTTGTAAATTATGAAAATATTTATATCTTTTTAGATGCATTATTAATAATTTTATATCAATAAATAATAAAATTAATAATTTAATTAAAAAATATATTTATATTTATAAAATATTAAAATAATTATAATCGTTAATTTAAAGAAAGTGTATAATTTCCTTTTTAAGTTTATAGTAGCAAATATATTTTCCTAATTATTACCTATTGTATTTTAGATATTTTGTTATATTTTTTTATTTACGGTTCATAATTTGTGTTGTTTTGAAATTTAAGATTCATTTTTTTTTTGCTAATGTTTAAGATTCATTTTTAAACTATACTATTATTTAATATTATATTACTCTCCATTCATACATTAAGAGAAAAAAATTGTATTTATTTATCCATATAAACGTTTTAATAATAATAATAATTTATTAATAAATTTTTAATGCGTGTCGAGTGACACAAATAAAAAATTAAAAAATAAATTATTTTATTAATAATTACAGCATTTAATATTATTATTGTATTAAATGTTATAATATTATGTAATTTTTAATAAATTTTAATATAGATATATTTTAGCTGTCCGTCTTTAGATACATTTTAAAAAATATTTTATTAATTATGCTTACAATTATTATATGAGCATGAAGTATAAGTGAAATAATAAATATGTTAATCTTAATTTTTAAAGTAGAAATTTTTAAAATTAAAATTATTAATATTTTATAAAATATTAATATTTATTATACGTTTATGACTACATAATAAATGTGTTCAGTAAAAAAGTATTATTTTTATATGTTTAAACTCAATTCTAAGAATTACTATTAATAAAATTCATAAAATAATAGTAATTAATATTAGTTTAAGCTTTAACATACATAGTCAGATAAATAGATTTTTTTAATTGAATTGATGAATGAAAATAAAAAATAATATTTTAATCATGCCTCTTATTTATTTTATTTAATTTTTTTACACAACTTTAAATAATAAAAGTATCAAAATGGAAGGGGTATTGTACAATGACTCTTCTCATCAAGTAATACTTTTGATCTTATTTATATATATAAAAAAAACACCTAAGATCAATAAAAAATAGTTAATGTCATAAATTTATATTTTATTTTAAAAATAGATAAAATAATAAGTAGTCAAATTAAAGTGTTATATATTAAAATTTTAAATGAATACATGAGTTTTTAAGAATAAAAGATGAATATCTTGTTAATATAAATCTTACAATAAATAAAAAATATATATGTATATATATAATTTAACAACCAGTATATATTTTATAGAAAGAGCAGTTGATTTTTATAAATAAAATCAGAAATAGTCTTTAATGATAGTGAGTAAAAAATTAATAAAAAAAGTTACATTAAAAATTACCTAAAACTAGGTAATGATATTTTGAATATATATTTTAAAAATATTTGAGGGAACTGATTAGCAATTGTAAGAATTGTAGAAAGATAGTGAAAAAGTGAATAGTGAGAAAGCAGGAAAGCACAAACTAGTTGAACATGATAGTCAGCGCAAAAGCCCCTTATTGTGCAGAGATTGAATTGAGAATTGAATATGATGAGCACTCTATGAGGTCCACTTTTACTCCCTACATAGCATTTCGTTGACCGTGTATCAGGGACATTTATGGCACATACGTCCAACATCAACTAGGGGTTTGCGTTACTCATTCTTCATCTGCATGCGCCCACCCACTGCCACCTTAATTCTTGTAATCCATCTCAGCACGCATCTTCACATGCACCACCCTTTTGCGTTCCTTCTAAACCCATTGCATTCTTTGAAGCTTTTAACCTTTATCTGGTTACATCTAGGTTTCTTCTCCGCTCTTGCTTTTTCTGTTAGTATTAGTATATCTTCTCTCTTTGATGTGTCTGCACCCTTGTTCTTCTTTTCGTTTTCCTTCTTTTAAGGATTCGGTTTCAACTTTTGCTTCTACTCTCTTACAAAAAGAACATTCCGCCAAACACATAAAATCAAATCTTTCTCAAACAACCTTTTCCAATGTAGAGCCAGATTTTTTTTTCTTTCCTTTTGAGATCGTAGAACTGAGTTTAAACAATCCCCGGTGAGTGAGTGTGATATATAAATTGTATAATAATAAAACTACTAGAGTATAAGAGAAATAGTTATAACAACAAAAAAAAAAGGGAAAAATAATAGTAGTTGTATAGCATGTTAAAATATTACAAGTCTAACCTTTCGCATCAACTTCAATAAAAAAGGTCCTGATCCTAGCACCTTGATAAGACCTGTTCACCCTTTTCTGGGGTTAAATATATCAATTCTTAGCCGCGGATATATTTTTGACTCCCGAAGAGTCATAATTCGCAAAAGGAAACTAGTACAATATGAACGTTCTCATTTATTTTAGGTTACTTTGTATTTGTAATTTCTAATTTAAATTGATCATTAGTACCAAATTTTTGTTTCAATTAATGTTGAGAAACTAAAGGCTGTATGAGTATGACAGAGAAGCTTCGAACAAAATTACCCGCTTAATGTTTCTTTCACACTAGAGTTTTGGTCATGGGATCAGGATCATGCTGTGTGAGAGTTAATTACTTCTAAGCTGTTCTATCTCGCCATAAATAAACTGATTCAAAATTTATAGTATTGAATACTACATTTCTTTCTCTTTTGGGAAAAAAAACTTTGCTGCCGAAAAGCAATTCGGTGACCACTGCAAGCAATCACGTTAAAGGAGTCGTTACAGTGAAATTAAACGCATTAACAGCTAATCAACCACTATTACTCTTTGCCAGCACATGCAATATGACAAAAACTCGTCACGCCAGAACTGTTATCCTTGACTACTCAATGTAAATAAAATTTAACTGCTATATCGAAGTCATGCATGACATTTTCCCCCTCAGGAGTGTCATAATCATGCCAATTGTAGGACACTTGAGGAAAAAGAGAAAGAATGTAGAACAAGTTGGACCACAACTGCTGGGCCATGTTACGATTTAAACGTGAAGAAGGGTGGTCCTATTGGCCCACACTCTAGCAGACAAATAAAGCCATGAGAAAACACAGTGCCTATCTGTCTAAATATATATATGTTTTAAGTTTTTGTAACGTGTCATTAAGGGAAAAAAGTGTATCAAATTTTTATTAAAAATTATATAGCATCATTTAATTTAATTTAATATATATTTATTAGTCTAAATTACAAATATTCTTTATAAGAGATAATCCAACTTGAGTTGAATAAGACCATTTATGAACACCGGAATTTTCTCTTAAAATATTTAATGTAACTGCATTCTAGAACCTAAATTCCAGGCTACTGACTATGTTACAATAAACCTATGCTAGTTGATTCTTATGCTTCGGTAATACATTTAATTTTTAATAAAATATGTGGTCCCGTGTTAGAAAAAAAACGTAGTATATGTTTATAGAATGATTAAGAAAAAGAATTGAAAATGTTACAAGGTATACTATATGGCATTGGGAGTTTGCAGTTCACAGTTTGACAGTCACCTTCATCCGCGTAGCTAGGCGTTTCAACTTCATTCATTGATTCATTCATTGATTCATTCATTTCATTCATTGATTCATCTTTCTTCTGAGCCTATCTGTTCTCACTTCAATTCCCAAAGCCTAGGCTTCACCTACACCTTACAACCCAACCGGCTGTCTTTTTCCCTGAATGACTCTTATGCCCTTCCTTTCCTTCAATAGCGTAACCTACGTTCCTCACTCTCTCTCTCTCTCTGTCATTCCCGAGAAATCAACGTTAATCTTAAAACACCATCGTCAAATCTACATGTATTTGTGCACCAAAATCAATGGAAAAATGGGGGGCCATTTGGGCAATTATTGAGTTCTCGTAAGAATTTTACACGTCTTGAAACGAAGACGACGAAACCTAAGCCTCTCTATGTGCCGCTAACCGCCATGTTTTCAGAGATGTTCCGCACCAAAAACAATACGCATGTTAATCCTCTCTCTCTCTCTCTCTCTCTCAACCATTTTGTTTCCACCTACCCACTCCTATCACTCTATAAAAGGAGTGCTTCAGAAGCCATCCAAATTACAAGAGAGTAGTAGTAATAGTATTAGTGATTACTATTGAGAGAGATACATATGGAGGGTGGGAATAATGAGGGAGTGCAGACGGGAGTGGGAATGGGAGGGTCTAATGGGGCTGGAGCGAGTTCAAGGTGGAACCCTACAAAAGAGCAAATAAGCATGCTAGAGAATCTGTATAAGCAGGGAATAAAGACACCAAGTGCTGAGGAAATTCAGCAGATAACTGCTAGGCTCAGGGTGTATGGTCACATCGAAGGAAAGAATGTCTTCTACTGGTTTCAGAATCACAAAGCCAGGCAGAGACAGAAGCAGAAGCAAGAAACAATTGCTTATTACAACCGCTATCTTCATAGGCCCCAGCCCTTCTTTTCTCCCCCAAATGGTTTGTTCTTTCCTTTTATATCTATTTCATTCAAATACTCTAACTCGTGCATGTTTCATACATACAAATTCCTTTATTTTTATGTTCGTTTTTTTCATCCATTTTTTTTCTTGTGTTTTAATTGATTAACCATTGTTTGCTCATTGAGTCTCTTCATGCAAATGTGCTCGGCATGTATGTTGAATTAAAAGGTAAGACTAATTAAAGCATCTTTGGAAAATCAGTAAATCTTTTTGAAGAAAACAATCGAGATCATCTTAAAAGTTTCTGTCCTTGCTTTAGATATATGCAATCCTTCTTTCAAACTTTTTCATTGTTCTTTTTTTTTTTTGTCTTCTACTATAACATTGGTAATTGAAGAGTATTTGGTTTTCAGCCATCTGTGCTCCATGCTGCATTCCTCAGCCACAGGGAGAAATTGGGTTTTATCCCCAACATCCAAAGATGCTTGTACCAGTAGGTTTTCGAAGGAACCCAGCAGAGAAAGTTGTGCCCGCAGGCATGCCAAGCATCTGTAATGGCCCAATGGTATATGGAGGCATGCAACAGAAAATCCCGGATTGTAACTTCAGCTACAGTAACCAAGAAACGTTGGATCTCTTTCCTCTGCACCCAACTGGCATTTTGGAAGGAAAAACCACAGATCAGGTGTCATCTCTGGCTTCAGTTTCTCCTGATAGTTCAACTGATACACCTTCCGGTTCTTCTGATATCAATGAAGAGGATGCTTGCCCAGGAAACCAGCCCTTCTTTGATTTTTTTACTACTTCAGGACAAGGTTCTTAAGAGAGTTATTAAATGTTATCAGTTACAACTCTCCAGCATGCAACTTTGAGTTTCACATTTGTCAGTCACTGAAATGGGTTTATGTCATTGAGTTTATGGTAATGAGATTGGTGTTTTTTTTATGTCCCCTTTTATTTTAAAATTTAATGATTATATAACTTGTCATATCTTTGTCAACCTGGCATGAATGTTACTGGTTCGCTCAGTGCCACCCTTCCATGCATGGATGCCGCCCATTCATAAAATAATTCTTTTTGCAGACTTTGAAAACAAATGAAAATGATCGTAACATTTGGTTTGGGGGGGCTTTTACCTTTGTGGAAAAGATGAGCGAGAAATATAAGATGGGAAGTTAGAGAGCAAACAAAAACTTTGTCCTTATTGTCATTTGTCACGTTTGCTAGGATATACTACTATATATACTGTTGTTCTATTTCTTCTCTTTTTTCATAGATATAGAAGTTTTATAACATGACCTGGACCAACCAGTGGTTTTTTTTTTTTTTTTTTCAGATTTCTAAGATTACTGTTTTCAGATCTGTCCTAAGTTTATTGGCCAAATACTTCCTGTGACTCTTATGTCTAGAAGATTGCAAAAAATAAATATATTTTTAACATTTTTATTTATTAGTTAAAAATTATAAAAATTAAATAAAGATCATTAAATTAAATTAAGAGTGTCACTTGTATCATTAAATTATATATAACATATTTTGTTAATAAAAAATTATAAAAATATAAATAAATATTATTAAATTTAAAATGCAACTTGTATAATTTTAAATAAAATTTATTGAATAATAAATAGTGTATTTTATGAAAAATATTTACTTTAATATTTAAGATTGAATTCAACAACAAATAATAATAATAAAGTTTTACTAAAAATCATTTATTGTACTTTTATAACTTAAATATAATAAATGCATTATTTTTTTTACAAAAATTCTTATCTTTAATTAATTAAGTTTAATCTTAAAAGTTGAAGTTAATAACATTGTTTTTTATTGATTTTTTTGTCAGTTACGTTTAATCTATGTTGATTTTTTCTTGGTCTTTTTTTCAAAGACGCGTGAAGATATATTTTATTTTAGTGTTATTAATGTGATATTTTCATTTATTGTATAGTATTGTTCAAAGAGTTTGAATTTATAACTCAAATTAATCCTTTTTATAGAAATTTTTGAGAAGTTTTAGTCATTTTTTATAAGATTTTCTTTAAATTGTTTATAGTATTTTTTTTTCTTTACAATAAAGCTAAATTAAATACTACAAATTAATTTATTGAACTTCTTTTATGAGGATAGAGAAGGATGACTAACTAATTATTTATTTTCGTTCACATTAATTTATTAAGTGAAAAAATTAAGGATATATAATTTTTAAATATATGTAAATTGTTAACAAATTTAATTCACCAATAAAGTTTCGTACAATTGATAAATAGTTGATTATCTTCAGAATGTTTTCGCTTATTGGGGTTCAATTCTAAGTCATGTGTAAGAAAAAAAATAATTAAAGAAGACTATACCCGTTTTATTGATCTTTCCACCTTAAAAAATCTCTCGATTGAAAGATATTTGTTGTGGAAAAAATAAAATGGTTGTATTATTCTATGAAGAAGTCACTGAACAATTGTCTATATATAACATTTATTTTAGAAGGGAAACAGGGATTAAATAGCTATTGATGCTCTTGCAATGTAAGTTACAATTGTTTAAACTTTGAATAGTGAATTAATGTATATATGACCGCTGATTATGAAATGAAATTGCATATACAAGAGAGTATATAATAATAGCCGTTGTGGATCCTTATCCTCTCCAACATCCTCACTCCCCAGCTACCCTCCCCCAATAATAATAGTCGTTGGATATATTCAATGGTGTAGATAAGTGAAACTAATGAGTTAATTAAAAATTATTATTAGAATTAATGGGATCGTTGAATTTATCAAACCATTAAAATGGGTCATTTAGAGGAGATGGAATGAGTTGAGAGGGATTGTATCTCATCACACTCTTCTACTCCATCGTTCACAGGTTCAAGCTTTGCAATTCACTGTCTTCAAAACTATGAGAAATGAGGTTTCTACAGTCCACCATGACAACTAGCTTTACCATTGTTCTTTATAATCAATATTATAACTCAACGTGATTTTAGCTTTTCCTTAATTTCATTATTTATTTTTCATGCTTGCCAATCTTGTGTTCAAGATTTTGACTTTAGCAATATTAGATTCGGATTTTAATGAAATGTGAAGTTATAATCGTTCAAAAGATTAAATGAAATTAAATTTTATTGCCATTAATATTTTTGAAGAAACATTCATTAATTAAGAATTAAATTAATTACTTTTAATTTGTCAACATGTAGAAATTAACATTGCAAGACCAACATGGATATATACTTGTATACATGGGTTTGGAAATTCTTTAGATGTCACCTTAAAAGATATGAATTTTATTTTGTAATTCTACATATTGATATATACTTGTTTTACAATCTCGTTTGTCTGTCTTTCGCACACCTTTGCCACAAACAAACTTACAAGAACTAACTGAACCATCCTTTTTTCATGTGTAACATATTTTGTCCTCACTCCAAAATCAATTTTTTTCACGATAGTCAACCCAGAAATTTCAAACATCATCATAGTTTATAAAAGTTCATTTCTACCTTTAACTTCAAATCTTCTTCTATCTTATATCTACCATCCTTCATGTTCAAAATCAAACTAAAACAGTGCTAACAATATCAAGATTTAATTACAACATATTTTTAGCTTTTCTCCCCCTTTTTATTTGCGCTTGATCTTTTTTAAAAATTAAATGAAATTTACATAGTGAACAAAATATTTCAATTTTTAAAAGAGACTTAGAATAACAGTAAAACAAAAATAGAGAAAATAAATCAATAGAAAATTAAAAAATTATACTTATTCAAATAAATAGCTTACCTTTTAACTGAAAATGTCAATTTCTTTTACTATACTAAAAGTTGATCGTGAGGCTAAATCAATATCACTGCAAATTGACTCCTCGTGATGGACCGTGTTAGACGAATCATCATGCTCGGTTCTATTTTCATCTTCATTGAATGACAGTTTCTTTCTAATATGTACGTGTGTTTGGCGTCAATATACATGTTTTATCTTTTAACTTCACAGCTCTTAGATGCATCTAACAGGGTTTGTTTATTTTAATTTTAAAATTTTAAAATTTTTAACTATCTTAATATGATTTATCCAGACCATTTGATGAATCTAATAATTACTAGAGAGGTACCTGATGGAAAGGATCTGCATTCTTGGCCATGTAGGGTGCAACTTTTGATTTTCTTAAGTTACTTCGGCAGTTTAACTTTTGTCGATGTCCCCGAAAGATTGTCTGCAACACCATCACTTATTATTACAATATAATAGACATCTAACATCCAGTTTGTACAAATTAAGTGTCTGACATAAATATGCAAAATCCGATGTTAAAATAACATTACTGTATAATATATGTTCATTGGTTTCCTTATCCTGTTCAATCCAAACCTTTTCTTTTCAAGTGCATAAAGCTTAATTATTTTGGAAACACTCATCTTCATAGATTAAAAATAGTGCTTCTCTCTCAAAAGAAGCAACTCCATGAACATACCTTCCTCACTTGTATTACTCATTTGAGTAATGGGTAGGCACCCCAAGTCCAACCAGTGGATCAGAACAACTTGAACTTCGAATAGTCGCTCATTTCATAACTTGCATGCATCATTATTTTTGAGCCAAAAAAGTGTTTCAAACATTGTTCAATCACAATTTAAGTGTATTTTGTTAAATAGAAATGAAAATAATCTTAATTTAGTTTCCACATAAAAAAAGTTAACTTTCTTGGTAAAGTTTTAAATTTTCTTTTACAACAAGCAAGAGGTATAAAATTCTTGTAAACACTTAAAAAAATTTCGACAGGTTGTTTCTTTAGAATGAGGCATCCTCTAAAGACCCATCTTAAAAGGGGGTGAATTATGAGTTCAATTCAAGTCCGGAGCTTAAGAATTGTCTTTTCGAAATGAAGCCATGCAAGTAGTGGTGAACTGGCGATTTTACAACTGATACTCGATATCCAGGGTTGCCCTTGCCTGATAGTTCTGATCTTGAGACTCATTTCTTTAGTTTTGCTTTCATTAAAAAAATTTATATCTATTTATTCAATTTAATATCCAGTTTATTATCAATATTGGAATTATAACATTTATAAAAGGTAAACTAGAATTAGGATAAATTTCTCTAATATTGGACAAACATAGGGGATTTCACCTCTTGTGGATTTAAGGATACATCAAAGGTCAAACGTCACAATCAGGGGCCCATTGTTACCTATACCTGACAAGCCACTCATGTGTGTCTCATCGTATTTGATTTAAAAATTTATTTGCATTTGCAGTCAAACACCAATTGGCATGTGACACACAGTTGTGTGGCCTAATCAAAATCGTTGTGGCAAGAAACTTTTAAGTTGGGCTTTAAGATAACACCTGGGCTATTTATGCAGATCGAGATTCAAGAACTCTAATAACAAATGTCAACAATTGCATTCAAGTATAATCAGTTAGGTCAAAATCCAATTATAGAAATATTCTATATTGATTGTAGAATTATTTATTAAGACCTCTGATCACGTCTAGAATCAAATTCATTTATGAGAGTAGCATATGAATCTCAATCTTGTTTCACTTATAATAAATTTCTTAAGTTAAATTTTTGACTACTGTTAGTTTTAAAAGGTCGAGATTATTGGCAAATCTTTATCATCTAAAGCATATAACGCTGGTGACAGCACATATATTCACGTATGTATTTATTGAAAAAAGAAAAAGATACTTCATATCACTTACATAGATCTCTGCTTGGATGACCCAATAAATTGAATTCGTAGAAAATAAAGTTCAATATAATTTATTTTCTTTTTAATTTCATTTTGGGCAAACCACTCCTGTCAAGTGTCAAGTGACTAATTTCATTTTTGGTAAAATTATTGTTGTATTGGATTTAACGATAAGGGACACGCACCCTTTTGCAAGCCCATCTGAGCTGCTTTCTAACCAATCGCAAACTTTACCCATAATGTTTTAAGATATGCCACAGCCCACTTAATCTTTAATTTTCCGTAAATCTTATCCATATTCCTCATCACACAACACTCGCCCATTCACTGTTTTAAACAAAATCCAAATTCAATTTCAGTTCCTTAAACAGTAAGATATGATATTTAAGGCATAAGTTACGCTTTTGGTTTTCATTGGCTTTTAAACAAGTTATGTGAGTAAAAGTTTCTATGTTGTTGATTATGTTATGACATGGCATGATATTTGAGCTTAGAAGGTAAGACTTTTCCCTGCATAAAAGAATTTCCATTACTATGCGTGAGTTTGAGGCTAAAATAAATTACTAACTTTAGAACGTGAGTTTCATAAATGCAAGGATACGCCTTTATTGGATGGTTAAAGGTTCTTGTGGCATAGTTTTAGCAAGAGTTTGGGACTTGTTCTTGTCTGTAGCTTCCTAGTAGTAACTTTCTTTATAGTAATTTGGCATGAAAATGTGAAAACCAACGAGGCATGTCTTTCAGTGGGTTGGGTATTGTTTTAAGCATTGTCTTTGGGTGCCTTTTGTTGGCTCTAGTTGCTGAGTTTGGCTATTTGATATGGTGGAAGAAAAGAACATGCACAGAAACTGAATCAGATAAAAAAAATGATGTAAATGGAATGCTTTATGGAGTGTGTTGTTGGAAGACACCATCTGCCACAAATGTAGTGAGTGCGAGCAGTAATATAGAAAACAAAAGCAATGAATCAGATATAGAGTTAGGTAGTGGGAAGGATGTGTTGTTGAAGACTTGTGGAGAAGAAAGTGTAGATACAGAGTTGATGAGGCTGCACAATCTGGCTGGCCCACCAAGATTTCTGTTCACCATCAAAGAGGAAACTAAAGAAGATTTGGAATTTGAAGATGGAAAGTCTAGGGGTGATAGGAGTAGAAAAGGGTCAAGATCAAGGAGCTTGAGTGATCTTATGGTGGCAATTGATAGTACCCCTTTTCTTAACCCAATGGCTTGCTCACCATTGAAGTGTTCTTTGGTTAATCTTGATTCTTATGAGCACCAAGGGTTCAATCCTCTCTTTGAATCAACAGTCGAGTCAGAGTTCAGCAGATCTAGATCTTCACCGCCACCCAAATTCAAGTTCTTAAGGGATGCAGAGGAAAAGTTGTACAGAAGATTGATTGAAGAGGCTCATAGAAAGGCACAGATGAGTTATGGGTATGTAACAGAAGAGGCTGAGGTTAAAGATCCCCCTAATTCAACAATGGTTATTCACAACAAAGAGAGGTCTTTGCTTAGGTTCATTAACAACAAAGAGAAAGAGCAGATAGAGTTTCAACAACATATGCCACAGTTTCCTTCAAGTTCATCTCAGGTTCTTCCATTGGCATCTTCTCCTACAATATTCAGACCAGTTGTCGAGGAGGCATCCGTAATACATTAGATTTTCAAAGTACAAGAGCCTCCGTTAATTTTCACCCTCACTTGTTAATTGATTTTTCTTATTTTTTTCTGTGGTAAATTTTAATGTTTTACAAAGCATCTGTTTTCTTTTTCTTCTCACTCCTTTATTTTGTGTGCTCTGAAATGATTGCAATGATCAATATGTTGCAAAAATTGTGCATCACATGCCAATAAATCAAATGTAGACTAAAATGCTCTCAAACTGCTTAACGTGTGGTTATCAAGGAATGAACTTGGTGGGGGCAATGTGTTTTTGTGCATGCTCTATGTTGCTGTTTTGTTTGGGCCTTTACCATTAACCATTCATGTGATGATGTTAGTTTGCTACCAATCTTCTTTATTTAAAAGCCTCCATGATTATCCTTTCTTTTATACATTTCAGCTATCATTTCGCAAACATATCCACTTTGGCATCCTAATTTGCGCCAGCAAGTCATATGCTCCCAGTTGTGTTTTGTTTCTATTCCCAGTGATATTTTGCGTCTCTAATCATAAATGGTTACTAAATTTTGAATATAGCCCTCAAAATTTTAGTGTAAGTAAATAAAATCTGTGTGCGCCCTTAAAAATGTATAAGGGGGCACCACTGAAATGACAAAAGAAAAAAAATACAAAAGGATGTAAATATGTAAACACTAAGGACCTGTTTGTACATCAGCTATAACTCAATTTTGCTTGAATTGAAATTTTCTTCACTCTCATAAGAATTGTCTCGTAAAATGCAAGTCACTGTACAAACAGCATTAACTCATAAACCCGTTTGCTAAAATTGAAATTTTTTTTCCTTCTATTGAATGTGCTTGCAGTACATGTTTAATTACTTTTTTAGATGAATTTTAAATCAAATAAACATTAAATCATCCCAGCAAACAAAAGATTGGAATATCAATGCTACCTGCTAAAGCGGTTAATAAAGCGCTTTATGTATAGATAGCCAATTTGAAATAACTTGAAGGGGTTGTGCAAATTTTGTACCAATAAAAAACTTTTGTAAAGATTTTAAATTTTTTTCTTACCTCATCGCAAAAAAATATTTTTTTAACAAATGTTAATTAACACTCTAATAATACTTATTAAATAATTATGATTTTTTAATTATTATTATTATTTTTAATATACCTTATATGTTATATATTGTATATAAAATTAATTTAATAGTTTGACAAACTAGTTTACGTAGATGCTTTTGTTTGAAGATTTTTTTTCCTATGAAATTTTTAATTTTAAATACTTTATATATTATGTAGTTTGTTTTTCTATTAAAAAAAAACAATATTTTTACCTTAACAAACAAACATTAGTCTTGATTTTTATAGTTAATGATTTGCACAACATAAAACCACTCATTAAATTTTGATTTTAGATTGAAAGTATTCAAAATAGGTGCCTATGTTGGAAGGAACAGTATCATTGAATTTTCCATGTTAATATGTGCCTCTAGTGGATGTGTCTTAATCAAATAACAAAGGGACAAAGTTGAAAACGGTGCATGTTGTGAATGGGTTATGGTATCTATGAACTTTTACCCAAAAAATCAGGTGATATCGTTGTAAACACTAAGATCCAAATGAATGTTTCTTCCACGGATCAAACCCACAAAATCTCAGCTCTCCCTTTTGAAATTTGAAAATAGATTACCAAACAAACACCTTACAAAATTACAACGTTGCACGTTACAATGGACAAGTGAGTAGTGAGCGCTAACAGGACGTTTAGAATTTGAACAAGTCTCATTAACAATCTTAACAAGTAAGTTACTTAAGAGAATTAAATAAGAAATATTTAATATAGTTATTTAAATGATCTTTATATTTGTAATAGAATATAAATTTTATGTTTGTTAAATGAATTTTTCTTTTATTTTGTTTACTTTTATTTTAAGAAAAAAATTAAGAAGTCACATTCCTTATTTAATAAGTCACATGCATAATTTCATGCATCTTTATAAATTTCAATAAATAATAATAAAAATGTTAGATAGGGTGTATTGTTAACTTTTTTCCATAAGAATATTTTTTAACATTATTTTTCTTTTATAATTGAATATATTCTAGTATTTGACTATTTGTAAAAATTATTTTTATACTTTTCATATATTTTTGGTTAATTTTATTTACATACATCTTAAAAAATATATTAGCAAATAAAAAATGTGAAAAAATAATTTTCGATGTAAAAAATAATGAGTAGCTGAAAAATTGGAAATTGAGCATGGTTCTATGTAAAAAATAATGCATACCCAATTGGGTGGTCCTAGGCGAGAGAGTCAATTCTTTGGACCATTATATTAAATTCTTAAGTATTTAAATTGATAAATTGGGTGAACGAATCACAAATCCTACCACCATAAAATACAATGAAGTTTAAAAATTATATTTTATTCTATTACGGTTTTCTATTTACCCCACAAGAGTTGTAATCTTGTGTTGACGTTGGATGGGTGTTGGATACCGCTCCTTGGATTAGACTCAACAATGATGCTACTTCATTGGAATAATTGATACAAAAGCTCAACCTGTATGGGTCTGTTGAGCGATTATTAAGGCAAATGGATATATGAAAGATGTTTTTCTTTTCTTTCAGTAGCTTGTATAGCTGAATTTTGGGGTAGTGGTGAAGAATATTTTGGGCTTGCCAATTGGCTGTGTCAAAGGTAGATGCTGATCAATCACATTAAATTTCTTTTAGAGCAAAATGTGCAAGTCAAATTTTGGAGAAGTAAACAATTGTGTTGATGTTTTAGCAAACTTTTGCTCCCACCGTCATCCGAAGTTGATAGTATATGATTATCCACCTAATAATTTGTCTAAGGTGCTGATAGCTGATGTTTAGGGAGCTAGTACTCACTATTTTATTTGACATGTAGTTTATTTTCTATGGGTTTTGGCCCCCTTTCATCACCAAAATAATATAGGATTGAGATTATTTAGTGTCTCATCTTGGCTTTAGCATCCTCAGCTTTTTTAAACACTAAAATATGTATCCTAAATTTCGAGATTCTTACCATGCATATACTTGTCTTTCAGAACAATTTTCATGAATAATGAGATGATCGATAACTAAATAGCGTATCATCATTAATTTTACTTGTATCAATATAATATTATAATCATTCAATTAAAACAATAAAATTATGTAAATGTTTTGATTTTCTAAATATGAATTGTAATATTTTATTAAAAAAAGCTATATGATTAATTTGTTAGAAAAAGTAAAGAATTACTGAACAAAACAATATTGAACCCAAAAAAATGTCACACATTTCTCATAATTTTAATAGTTTTTTTTTGGTCGAGTCACAATTTTAAAAGTTTAATTAAATGTGTGGGTCTAGAATGTGTAAACAAAATTGCAGGAACCGTACAAGTGTAGCCCATGGCCCATGCTTTTGTTATAAGTGGGCTCAAAGGTGTTAATGGAAACAGTAACTCATGCGTATGACGAGACAGAATCATATGGATCTTTTGTAAACTAGATTTTGAGTTTGGCATCGTTGTTGAATTAAATTAATCATCAACAGTGAAGAGGGTACAATTTGGGCCGTACAGGATATAGCTACTTCCATCAACCCAAAAGATTGATGAATATCCACAAAGAAAGAAAGAAATGAAAAATAAACTGATAATTATGTGAGTATAAGAAAAAAATTAGTATTAGGAAAATCCATATTCTAATAAATTATTTTATACTTTTGAAGTAAGTAATGTACTATAAAGAAACTGAGTCATTATATACTATCAAAAAGTAATTACAAAATAGGGTTACTTTGGGACTTTAAGAAAGTTTGTTTTCTTTTTAAGAAGAGGGGTAAAGGAGATGTTGCTAAGGTTTTCACTCTAGCCAACCTGCGAACTTGTGACTCAGTGAGGGAAGTAGTGCGAGCAAGAGGGTCAAAGTTGAAGGCTCTAGTTTTAGATCTTTGTTCGAGAAGGGATGGAACGCTATGAAGCAGAAAAACGTTCTAAGGAAGAGTTGGACCTGATAGATCGCAGTACAAAAAAGTTGAAGATGGGATTTGCAGCAGTCATGGAAGGGCATGAGGAGCTCATGCAAGAAGACCTGCACTCAATAAATTCGATACATCTTAAGTATTTTCTACTTCCAATGTTTTTGTACCTTTATCTTATAAAGATAAAGTTTTGGAGTCAAAAGACCTTGATTTAGTTCTGAATGATGAGGAAATTATAAAAACAATATTAGAAAATTTTAATATTCACCCTGAAAATGATGCATGTGATGTAATAGGAAGTGAGGATCAAAATCTTTGTCCTAGTCTTAAAATACCCCTAGAAGATTATGATGGTTTGTGCTCTCTATGGAAGTTCACCCTTATTGTTAAGCTTTTAGGGAAGTTTCTAAGCTTTAACTATCTAAACCAGAGACTTAGTATTATTTGGGAAAAACATGGTTCGTTAAAAGTCCTTTACTTAATGATTTTTTTTGGTTAAATTTGAAAGTATAGAAGATTACAAATATTCTCTTTTTGAAGGACTATGGTTAATTTTGGATCATTATCTTCTGGTTTAGAGGTGGAGGCCTCTACTCCAGACTAAGGATTATAATATAAAGAAAATAATTGTGTGGGTTTGTATTCTCGATTTACCTCTTGAATTGTATAACAATAAGTTTCTGTGGCAAGTTAGAGCTTGCTTAAGATCAATATTGAAAGTTGATCCCTACACCTCCCTGCTATTTAGGGGTAAATTTGCTAGAATTTGCATTGAAATTGACCTTAAGAAGCAATTAGTTCTTGCTTTTAGAGTTTTAGGTCAAGAATTCAAAGTAGAGTATGAGAGTTTACACCTAATATGCTTCAAGTGTGGGAAATACGAACATAGGCAGGAACAGTGTGGAATCACCATTAAAGTTAGTCAATCCACGATGGATCAGGAGGTTCAGCTTAATAGGAATGTAACTAGTAGGATGAGAGAAGGGTTTGATGACTCTAACATAGCCAAGTATATGGATGAAG